ATTTTCAATTTTTTTTTTTTTTTTTTTTTTTTTTTTTTTTTTTTCTTTTTCCTGAGAGTTATTGGTTTTTAAAATTTGTCCTCTCTTAATTTGAAATTTGTCTTGCGACTGATGACATGGATTGTGATTTTGATAAAGAGAAGATATAAGACCAGGAGAATTTAGTATAATGTTTTTTGTTTTGGATGTATTAGAATTCATCAATACAAATATTCTTGTTGCCTGGAATATTTGGAAATGGAAGTTCTGGGAAATTCTATTGTATTGACTTTTGATGTGTTCTGTGTCACTCCTTCAGTGGGTCTTTTGCACTTCTTGACTATGGATGAAGTATGAGCGAATGTAATTGGTGCACAATTAAGCTTGTAATCTATCTTTTTGAAATGTTAGACGGGACTTGTTTCTCAATGGTCAGAACACTTGTTGTTCTAAAAGATCTTATTGAAAGAGTCAACTCGCGCTCCAATCCTTTGCATTTGGATTATGTGAACATAAGGAAGGGAGAAAAACATAGGACAATTGTGCTTTTGCAAAATGTCCATAGTTAATCCGCTCCATTTCTGAAAGGATTTAACTGAGTTGTTTGTTGCCATTTTGCCTATGTAGCAATTTTTCATTGTCTTAGGATATTGGTCCGTGCATTGTATTCATCCTTCAGATGGAGTTACTCAATTGCCTTTTGGCTGGGATAAAAAAATCAATTCCTACGACTATTCATTATTATATATCTAAGCTTTCGCAATTATACTGATCATCTTGATATTCTTATCCTGCTACTTAAGCCGAGGAGATGTCATTGTTTTTCTGATGAACTTGAAAATGTTGTCCAAGGGATGAAGTCATTGCTATTGGTGTGCACATCAGAATTCGATTGACAGTGTTTGAGAATACAATGATTTCAGTCCTCAAAAATGCTAGTTATCAATTAGATTGCCTTAGCATTGATGCCACAATACTGAGAACTGAGAAGATAAATGTTAATTGTTTTGGTTCAAATGCGAGCATTTTCTTCTTACCATCATATACGTCTTCTGAATTCAAGTTTACCCATACCTGCTTGAGGAACGTGGAGTGTTGACTAATATTTAGTTTTCCTTGCTAATGGATATTGCTTTGCATTATCTTAAATATATAGATTGTTTGATAATGGGCAGATAGTAGACCATGCTATCAGGAATGGTTAGTTCCTTAAGATTCTGGCTCAACCTAAAGATGTTTGTCCAGTTCAGTTTAGTATAGCTGCAAAATATGAATATGTGGTTGTTAGTTTTGTATTCAATCAGGGATAATCTCGTTTCATTTTTGTAAGGTTTTTCAAATTTTCATGGATTTTCTAACAAATAAACCTTGCAATAGGCACCCCACTTTGGCGTAATGGGCCACCTGAGAAGCCAGTACTATGCAATGCATGTGGATCTCGATGGAGGACAAAGGGAACACTTGCAAATTATACCCCTTTACATGCTCGGGCAGAGAATGTTGATAGTGAGGATCAAAAGGTTTCCCGAGTAAAGAGCATATCATTAAATAAGAACAAAGAAGAGAAATTAGTCAAACGAAAGCAGAACTATGATAATGCTGCATCTGGAGGGTTTGTCCCTGATTATAATCAAGGATATCGAAAGGCTGTGGATGAAGATACCAGCAATAGATCAAGCTCAGGGTCAGCTGTCTCTAACTCAGAGAGCTGTGCCCAATTCGGTGGCACGGATGCTAGTGATTTGACAGGTTGGGCAATTACTGTTTGCCAATTTCATTGGAAGATTTATCTTCATAACTGATTATGGAAGCATTGTCCTTTCCATTGAAATAGTGAGTTTTAATGACGGTACTGATTTATGTGAACTTAATCAAGAACTGGATAATTAAATAGGGGGAAAAGGAAAAAGAAAAATTGTGAAAATACAGATCCACTTGCAAGGCCTTGTTTATCCCTGATGTAAACAAGTTCATAAATTGTACATCATACATGTGAGTGTGTTTTAAGAATTCTAGTGATTTAAAAAAAAAAAATCATAATGAAGATCCAGTTTTATCTCAAAAACAATTTTCATGGAAAGCTTTACAGTTAAACACGGATTATCAATTTTCTATTATTAGTGTATATCTATATTTCCTTATCAATACTTTTAGAGTAAAATGTCAAGTTTTACATACATGATATAATCTCTCTAGTTCTTCATATCTGGTTACTGCAGTTCAAAACAATTCCTTTGTTTCTTTAAGAAATTCATGTAATTCTAAGATAGATAGTTTGATTAATTTAGGTCCTGCTCAGTCAGTGGTCTGGGATGCCACGGTGCCTTCAAAAAAGAGGACATGTGCAGGTCGTCCAAAGCCTTCTTCTGTTGAGAAGCTCACTAGAGACCTGTGTACTATTCTTCATGAACAACGGTCTTATTTTTCTGCATCTTCTGAAGATGATCTTCTTTTAGAAAGTGGTACACCAATGGTCTCTGTTGAGATAGGACATGGAAGCATTCTCATTAGGCATCCTAGCTCTATAGCTCGTGATGAAGAGTCCGAGGCTAGCTCTCTTTCAGTTGATAATAAACAATGCCTAATGAATGAGGCATATTCATGTTCTGGTACCATTCCAATGCATTGTGATCGCAGTGGCATGAACTTCTCATCTCATGGAATTGAAAAGATCAGAAACTCGGCTGGCCAAGGCATGCAACAAGAGCAACGTGATAGGCATGTTTTCCCCAACCACTTTATAGTCTTTCATTATTCTAGTCAGTTATGCAAGAGCATTAATATAATAAAAAAAATATTTGTTTATTACTGTTGAAAGTAGACAACTGTACTAGCATAAATTTGGTAATTTTCTTGGATGGGGTATGAGTATCTCCATGTTTATGGATTATCTTTATACCTATGGCTTTGTCAAGAATCTAGAGATACATCTGTGGAAATTGTTTCGGAGAAGTGACAGAAAATTTGCTCTGTACTGCCATTGATATATAAGTATATATTTTATTTTTAATTTCAGGGACAAGTCTCATCTTGAAAAACTTCAGGTTCCTGGAAATCATGACTCACCGTTATGCGTAATAGATTTAAATGTGAGTTACTTATGTTTTTGTATCAATAATATTGGACAGCAAACAGTATAATATGTTTTGGAATCTTTTATTAAATTCTTCATTCATGTAATTACTCTTTGGACTTTAAAGATGGCAACTGAATTTTGAATTCCTTTAGAGAGGAGGCAATATTCAATTTCCATAAACAATATGATAATGTTTTTGGGTTTTGTATTGTGACTATTGTTTTGTTCTGCGTACATATTTATAACTATATTGGTTGCTATTATGTTTGGTTAGGATGTAGTGAACTATGAGGAGTTTATGAGAAACTTGACAAATGAAGAGCGGCAGCAATTACTGAAGTATCTCCCCATGGTTGATACTGCTAAATTTCCTGATAGGTTAGAATCTGTTACACTTGTTTGAATTGAATTGTATCATTGATGTTTTGTAAGTCATAATCCTTGAATTTGAAGTTTCGTGTCCATCTCCTTTCAATGTTCTGCCATTTGATGCCTGAATATTTCACCCCCCAAAAAATAAAAGACTTGCGACTGTTGAGGGCATAGAAGATATCTAGACTGAATCCAATTAATGAAAGATTGTGTTGTATTTGCAGCCTTAAAAACATGTTCAATAGCTTCCAATTCAAGGAGAACTTGACTTATTTTCAGCAACTTCTCTGGGAAGGTGTCTTTGATATATCTATGTTGGGGACAAAACCTGAAGAATGGAAGACAATGAAAAGGCTTGTGTTATCTAATCTGTCAAAGTCAAAATGGGTGGAGCACTATAACTTTCTCAAGGTTTGTACTGGTTTATTATTTAGATACTAATGCTTGTGTTGAAAAAATATTTTATATCGATACTTTAACTCATCCAAGGATGGTCACCCTCACTGATGTGATTTAGATTGGTCTTGAGAATGAAAAAAACTAAAATCACATGTAATTAGTTTTTTTATAATAGCATCTGATCAATTTGAGTGTAAATCAAATAGGGTATGGATCAAATCAAATACAATTTCATCCATTCCGATCAAAACTCATTTGGATTGCTACAGTTTTTGTTAAATTTTAATATATAAATTCATAAAAATGTCTATTATAAATCAATCTAAACTCTAAAGCCAATTCATCAAAATACACTGAATACTAAACTCAAGTTTAAATAAATACATCAAAATATAAATCTAAATTTTAAATATAGTTTCAAATTGTCAGTCATATTGTTCCTACAATTTAGAGGGTGAGCCTTGGCGCAACGGTAAGGTTGCTGCTTAGTGACCAAGAGGTCACGGGTTCGAGTCCTGGAAACAGCCTCTCCGCTTGCGGGGGTAAGGCTGCGTACATCTACCCTCCCCAGACCCCACTAGGTGGGAGCCTCGTGTACTGGGCCGCCCTTATTGTTCCTACAATTTATATCCAAATCCAAGGGAGGACTAAGCTTGATGTTGCGGTACATTAAGAAAGTTCCCACGTTAGGTATGAATATTATAAAAATTGCTTATGTAAAATGTTACTTAAGAAAGTATAATCTATAACATTTTAGGTTGGTTATTCAAATTTGTATTCTAAAAATGATTCAATCCAATTAGTTATTTTAAGCTTTTTGGTTTGCTTATTTCAGTTTTTTGATCGGATTGGTTTGGTCTTGAACACCCATATTTACATTCTTCTATGGGTGCAGAAATATGAAAACAAAGATGGAAAAGCTATTGATCCTGGATCTACGGGTATGGAATTAAGTAATGTTACAAATGGCAAGAGATTGCGTGAATGTGACGGCCGAAATCAAAATTTTCCAGGTTAGCTTCAAATATGGCTACAACGAAAAATTAAAAATATTCACATGCCTTCCTTGTAAAAGACTGTATATGGTGGGCTTTTACTTTGAGACACGTCAAGAGAATTGTGATACTGACCTTCATCAGTTATTAGTTAGAAACTGTATTAGGATGGTCTGCTGTTTATGATTTAATTGAAGAATCGTTATTAACACTATTCATGCAAATTTCAGAATTGAAGACAGCAATGAGGAGCCCCAAAAGGGTGATCATAAAGGCTAGCAGTGAGAGCAAAGAAGAAGTAGAAGAAGGCTCTAGCTTCAGTCCAAAAAGCCTATTTGCTTTACCCCATGGTGTTAGTGGCTTGGACATGCTGGATTCTTTAAACTTTGTTGGTGAGAGTTCTGAGGATTTGCTGTTAGAGGTGCCATCTAACAGTTCTTTTCCACAGGCAGAGCTCCTGCACCCAACTTTTTGCTATGGTGCTCAGGTCAGCACCACTAGTAGCTCAGTACACTCACCTAATACTCATCCTTAACTAATCTTTACTAGGTTATTTGGATGGGTATGGACAGAATATTCAGTCATAATTAGGGTCCACATGTTTTACATTTGAAACACCAAAATATTCATGTACAAGAGGATATGGTGGTTGTGTTTATGTTTCCTTGCAACCTTGAGCTTGGATTGCCAAAGGATGGAAGTTTAATGGGCTTTTTTTTTTTTTTTTTTTTTTT